ATATACACACTAAACCTATTAAATGTCCGTGGGGTACTTCACGTATTCGCACAGGTACAAGGCGAAGGTTAACTTAAACGCGAACTGAACACCGTTCCAGTAACTGTTCTAGCGAGTCGCTTAAATGCAGAGCACTGGAGTGGATTGCTCTTACGACTGGTGGGCTGGGTGTTGCACCCTAATATTCAGCGTTAGCCTATTGGCTTTTACCGTTGTAGCAATTTCTGATTAATTCTCATTTATACGTTGTTATTCCAGAATCGTCCTGGGCCGTTTTTTGTATCTTTGTTGCGTTCCCGCGACTGGAGCAATTCTTCGTATGTGGGGTTAATGGTGGAGTTGTCTATCCTTGTGAATGCCTTATCGGCGAGCGCGCGTACGTGCTCTTGCAGGGTGGTGATTTCCAGGTCGTCGCGTATGGTGTCGTTCCTCACGTACCATGGCGCCTGGACAATGTTACGGAGAGTCCTTGATTGAATGGCTTCAATTCGGCGGGTGTTTGTTTGTGACAAATACATCATCCATCCTGCGGATGCGTATGTCAAGATTGGTCTTATACTGGTCTTGTATATTCCGACCTTCGTCTTAATATCTAGGGATCTAGCTGCTAGCAGTGGATACAGTGATCCTCTTGCTTTTCTCGCCTTTGTTACTGTAGATTCGGTGTGTTTGGCGAAGGTAAGACGCCTGTCTAGGGTTACGCCTAAGTAGGAGATGTCGTTTTTCCATTCTAACGCTTGTTGCTGGAGTTGTAGTACCGGGAGCCTGTCTGTTTTCCGCGTTCCAAACACGATGGCTTCTGTTTTTGCAGGGTTGAACTTCAATCTCCAGCGTCCCGACCACGGAAGAATTTGATCCAGTGCGTCTTGGGCTCTTCTGACAGCGGTTTCTCTGCGCCTGTTGCTGGCAAAGATAAGTAAGTCATCGGCGTACAGGGCGAAGTTGACATCTGGCGGTTTTGGGACGTCGTTGATGTAGGCGTTGAATAGAATTGGTGATTAAACACCCTCCCTGCGGGACGCCTGCATCCGCTGGTGTTTCTCGTGACAGGTGATCCTGCACCTTCACCCTAAAGGACCTGCCTTGTAGGTAACTGTGCAGCAGCTGTACAGTGGCTGGTGGCACGTTCTGTGTTCGGCGCAGTTTGACCAGCAAACCCGCTCTCCAGACCTTGTCGAAAGCCTTCTCGTTATCCAGCGAGACGGCGACAGTGGTTTTGCCCATGTTGGTGGCTTCCGCTACATGGTCTATAAGCCTGACTATTTGGAGTGTTGCTCTAAACCCGAACTGTTCTGGTCGTAGTGTTAATCTTGGGAGGAGCCTTGTCAGTAGCTCTTACGCCCCGCAATTTGTCGATCTGGGCTGTGAGCCCTTCCTCTAACAGCTCTAGCCATTGGCTTCTACTGCTTGCTGGTTGTTCTTGGTTCATGGCGTCTTGTTTCCTCTTGTGTGGTTTATGAGGGTAGCTCTTACGGAGCGCGGGAGGATTCTTTAATATAGTCCGCTGAGATGCTGCGTGTGAGGGTTGCGGCTTGCGCTATCTCGGCGGATACTTAGAGAACTGGTTGGGGCGCGCGTGGTTAAGTAAGGGTGCGTGCGCGGGTATCATTGTTAGGATGTCATGTGGGTTGCGGTGTTTTAGGGGTTGTAGGTGTCCGTTACAAATTTAGTTTTTTTAAAATCTTACCTTACTTCTCCTCGCCCACGTCGTCCGTCTTGTCTTCGTCTACCTCTTTGTCCATGTCGTCATCCTCTACCTTCGCCACGCTGTCCCCCTCGTCCACGTCCTTGTCGCCCTCCTCGTTTGCGTCCTTCTCGTTTCGGAGGACCTCCTTTAGATCATTTACATAAAAAACTTTGTGATTTCGCGCGCGTATTAATAAATTAAGGGAAGATAGAGTGAGGTGAAAGTGTATAAACGTGTTTATAGATGCTCCGTGAATACGTTCAAATTTTGGGCCTTGACGAGCAGCTGAATGCGTTTTTTTTGCTTTCACAAAGATACATAAAAGGTAGGAGTGGAAATAGATTAAAAATTATTAGGCAGTGAAAACAGAGACCAACAAATTTTTTGTAGTAAGCATCGGTTATTTTGTGTAAATAAACGTTTTGTTGCTATCGCGGAAAGAGATAAACGTGTTTTTCCCGAAGGGTCGACCTGAGAAGCACGTTTTGCGCTCCGACTGCATAGGCAACTAACATTACACTCCCTCAGCGCGTGTGGCATACACCACAAAGAAATCCAAAAAGGTTTTCATTGCTACACGGAAATCAAAATGGAAGACATATTGACACAAATTAAACAACAGCTAGAACACATCAACCAAAGATCTGAGCGGATTGAAAATAAACTTGACGACTGTCAAAAACAAATTAAGGAACTTTGTAACGAAAATTCCATCTTAAAACGTGAAAACGAAAAACTAAAGACGACGGTCGTTACGCAAAACAATAGATTGAATTTTTTGGAAAAAGAAATGAGAAGAAAAAATGTGATAGTCCAAGGCATGAAAGAAACTCAAAACGAGACCGACCAACAGCTGAAAGAAAAAATGGCGAATATGTTGCTAGACATTGGAGTAAATGTTGACATCGAATCTGAGTTTGGAGAAATATATCGAATTGGAAAACCATTAAATCGAACGAGACCGATTTTTGTAAAAGTGAAAAATTTTTCCCTGAAATTAGAAATTTTAAAAACGGCAAAAAAATTTCGAGGTTCGGAAATATATATTACAGAGGACTTTCCGAAACACGTACTGGAACAGAGAAAGATACTACTTCCCCACATGAAAGCGGCCAGAGAGACACGACACCGTGCGTTTTTGAATTACGATAAACTGGTTGTTAATGGTGACGTCTTTGGAGTAGATGATTTAACAGAAGAGCATGAAAATGAAAATCAAGGGCACGACATGGCAAAGAAAGGGAGGACTGTAAGTCAGAGATCGCCTCAAGATGAAAAAACCACATCCAAGAGAGCAACGAGCATGTGTAACTTACCAAAAAACTAACCGTTACCTATGCACCAATGATGACGACATCGGCCATGGACAATGGAAATGAAATGGAAAAACGGATAAAAGGTTTACGAAATAAAGTCAGAACTTGGAAACTAGGTGTGTGGAATACAAGGAGTATGAACGGCAAGGAGAATGAACTAGTGCAGGAATTCGAAAAAGCGCAGCTGGATATCTTGGTCATATCTGAAACGAAAAAGAAGGGACGAGGTACTACGAAAATGGATAACAATCATTTATTCATATACAGTGGAGTGGATTTAAATGAAAGAGCGGCAGGCGGAGTCGGTTGTCTCATTCACGAGAAACATGTAGAAAAAGTATACGACTGGAAATCAATTTCTGAAAGAACAATACAAGTAGAACTAATTGGATTGGAAGGCACCAAAACTACAATAATAGGGGTATACGGTCCAAATGAAGACGAAAAAGTGGAAAGAAAGGACATCTTTTGGGACGCCCTAGAAAGAACAACCGAAACAGCGAAAGGACAAGTATACATTGCAGGGGACTTTAATTGCAGAGTTGGAAGAAGAGATGCAACATATAAAGCAATTTTAGGAAGCCATGGGGAAGATGCTCGAAATAGTAACGGCAACAGAATGCTGGACTTTTGCCTCACAAATAACCTCATTATCACAAATTCTTTTTATGAGCACAAAGATATACATAAATACACACGAGAACAACATTCAAGACAAGAAAAATCTATTATTGACTATGTACTTACAGAAACAACAAACAGAAAAAATATAAAAGATGTAAAAGTTTCAAGAAAGGCAGAAATAGGCAGTGATCACTATTTATTGATAGCTACAATAAAAAATGAAAATATCTCCGCTAGACACAGCAAACAACAAAAAACCGAAACAATGTATACAGAAACTATTAAAGCCTATAAATTAAGAAATAAGGATGTGGCTAAGGAGTTTACCCAAACGTTGGACCAAAAATTAGAAAGCTGGGAACAAGAAGAAAATTTGGAAAAGTTGTGGACTTCTTTTAAAGTAGTTGTACTGGACACGGCAAGAAAGACATGTGGAATTTCAAAAATGCACGATGGCAAGAAGAAAACTGCATGGTGGAGTGAAAAGATCAAGCTAGAGGTAAAGAAAAAGTGGCAACAATATATTAAATCGAGAACACCAGACAAATATGAGGAATATAAACACCAACGAGGCGCTGTAAAAAACTTGGTGTTACAAGCAAAGAAAAAATCATGGGAAGATTTTGGACGAAAACTGGAAGAAAACAGTAAAGGAAATCAAAAACTGTTCTTTAAAGTGATAAAAACACTAAGGAAAAACCGAGATGACTACATCTTTAACAAGTACAAACGGAGAAGTGATAACAGATTAAAAGGCGATAATGAACAGATGGAGAGAGTATTTTATGGAAGTACTAAAAGGAGAACAAATTTACGAAAGAGAAGTATTAAAATACGAAGGAAGAAATGAAAATATGGAAGAGGAAATTAGGTACTTTAGATGAACTGGTAAACGCAATTAAAAAGCTAAAAGTAGGGAACGGTATCACAGCAGAAATGCTCAAAAACTTAGGGCCAAAAGGGATGGAAATATTACTTACAATAATGAACAAGGCAAGTTCTCATGAAACTATACCGAAGGATTGGGAAGTAGCCTTGTTAGTACCAATATTCAAGAAAGGAAATGCAAAAGACTGCAATAATTATCGAGGAATATCTCTATTAAGTAATGCGCTAAAGGTGTACGAACATATCTTAGAAGAACGTCTAAGAAAAGTTATAGAGCCAACCTTAAATGAAGCCCAAAGCGCGTTTCGAAAAGGTAGAAGCGTTCAAGATCATGTCTTCAGTATAAATCAAATAATCAACAGATCAACTCAAATAAACCAAAATGTATATTTAGCATACGTTGATTTGGAAAAAGCGTTCGACCGTACACCGAGGTCAAAAGTGTGGGACATCTTACGACAAAGAGGAACAAGTGTTGATCTGATAAGAAAAATCGAGAGCATTTACTGCAACGACATTAACTGTGTAATAAGCAAAAACAAAAAATCCGAACCGTTTGCAGTAAAAGAGGGTCTCCGACAAGGAGGAGTGCTGAGTCCTCTACTCTTTATAATATACATATATGGATGAAATAGTATCCAAATGTAACGAAAAAATTATCAAAGTCCTCGTGTGAGATCGAAGGGACTTCAGCGCATTTTTGTGTGGCAGATCAGTATTCTATTAGCCACTTTTGACTCAACCGTGAATAAAAGATTTTGTCGAAGTATACCACATTCCCTTTGACGGTACCCACATCCGACGTCCCGTTCACCCGCAATTCGCGTTTGAAGATTTTTCTCCACCATCAGTTAGATCTTGTTGGAGGCTACCACATTTCCTTTTTCGGTGCATGCTTATATTACACCCACATTTTGGTGGATCTCGCTAAAAACCTTCCACAAGATAGTACTTAATTTTTGGGGGGCACTTCTCATTACTCGAGCTTCTATTGGCGACACGAGAAAGAGAGACAGCCATTCGAGATTTACGAAACGTTAAAACGCGTGACAGAATTCGCAACGGAAGGTAAAAGGTGCCCGAAGTTGACTACCTCTCGAAGACGCGCGCGCGCGCGCCATGCAAAAGGTCGTTAATTTCGCCCCTAGGCCAAAAAACAAAATTCCGCCACGCAGGAATTGTGCGCGTTTACAACATCTTTCCGACGACACCAATTTGAAAAGAATCGGACCAAAACTGTAGTAGAAGATAGGAAAAAACTGAAAAACCTTCACGGTAGTATACTACGCTCGAGGACGACGCCCAGATGTCGCCAACCCCACATCATGTAGCCCTGTCCCCAAGGTTTACAAATTACACGGCCTTGTAGATACACGTACACCCGTTGCCTTTCTACAAGAGTTCTTCTACGCGCCCACATTTGCTGCCAGCCAGCCGACCAGCCAGCCAGCCAAAGTGAGATTAAAAGCTACTTTTTACAAATAAATTTGCAAAAATGCGCTAAAAACCAAAAGAACGCTAAGTATTGGATACAGATACCTACAGAGAGTGCAAATCTCGGAATGCCTGTTTGCTGACGATATTGTGCTTATTGCTGGAAGTGAAACGGATTTAAAAGAGAATCTAGGGATATGGCACGAAGTGTTACAACAATACCAAATGCAAATCAATAAAAATAAAACAAAGGTAATGGCTATCACAAATGTACAGACGCAAATGAACGTACACATCGAGGAAGACGAAATTGAACAAGTGAAACAATACAGATACCTGGGAATTACAATAGAAGAAAATGGCAGACAAGACATCGAAATAAATGAGAGACTATTAAGTGCTTCAAAGGTGTACCACACAATTAAAAACACAATCGTTAGGAAACGTGAAGTATCAAGAACGGCTAAGACGAACGTTTTTAAGGTCATTTTTAGACCCATACTCACTTATGGGTGTGAAAGCTGGATACTAAACAAGCGTGACAAAAGTAAAATCCAGGCCATGGAAATGAAGTATCTGCGAGCAGTAAAAGGAATAACAAGATGTGACAGAGTCCGCAACACTGAAGTTCGCGAGGAACTGGAAGTAAAATCTATTTTGGAATTTATTGAAAACAAACAACTAAGCTGGTGGGGTCATTTACAAAGAAGCAACAGTCAAAGACCGGTCAAACAGATTTGGGAAGCGAAGACGCATGGACGAAGACGAAGAGGCAGACCAAAAAAAACTTGGGACGAAGTAATTGGCGAGATACTAAGTAGAAGAGGACTGACATGGACGGAAGCTAAACAACTTGCAGGAGATAAGAAAGCTTGGCGCAATTTTGTGTACAATTAAGATATGCCTAAATGTAAAAATTTTACTGTATTTTTCCTGGACATCGAAAGGTAAAACATGTTTTGATTTTATATATATATATATATATATATATATATATATAAAAACTTAAACCTAATTAAAAGAATTAAAATTAAAAGAATTAGGGTACTTCCTAACATGGATTTTATTTGTTTGTTGTTTAAATCGATTATATCAATGAATTTTCCCACTTTAGAGTCATCCGAAGATGTGTAATTTTTATGAAAATTTTCAACCATTTTAACGGTCAACTCGATATTCTTTACCAAAGACATTTTCACTAAAAACAAGATTGTAAAATAACTGGAGAGAAGAATTTTCAAAGGAGCACCTGGTAATCGGTGGAATGCACAATCAAATAAAAATACGGCAATGAGGCGCTACTTAAATGCAGATCGTGCTGCCTTCATCACTACGTCACGCGCGCACGTGACGTATGTTACAAAAGTACGTGAATAACAACTAAGTTTTATTACGAATGTAATTTTACAATGTCATGTCATAACAGTTAATCAATCAATATGGAACATTCCTGTATAATTTCCTGTAATTCTATTTCATACCTTACATCGAAATATATAAGCTCCTCAGCTAAAACAAATATATTGTTATACTTACAACTTGCTTCAAGTGCTTTTGACAAAACTAATCTTTCATCTTCGGCCTCAAAATCTGCATACATATCTTGAATATAACAATATATGTTATTAAATTCCCTAGATTTTCTTCTAAATTTAAGATAACATTTATGAAGACTCAGAACCTTCTCTTTAAAGATATCAGTTTTGGTTTTAAGTGCTTTATGCTTGCATTTAAGTATCTCTATGTGATTTAGTAAAATATCTGGTAAAGACTTACATGGCAAATTATTATTTATTATTGCTTTTTGTGTTAAATTGTAGAGAGAAGGCACTTTGATCTCCTTTCGCTTATAACATAAGTCACTAAGTATATTATTAATAGAAACTAAATAGCGTCCCGCACTAAAAGTAACTGAAGCAACCATTATTTCAAAATCGTGATTCATGTAATCAACCCATTCATAATTTGAATGTGGATGCATATTGCTAAAATTTAAAATATTTATTATTTAATAACATAATAAGAAGCATACATACCTATTGTTGCTATGCGTCAGTAAAATATATTTGCAACAACTTATTCGGTTTCCCCACATCGACTTCACCTTCAAAAACTAAAGCGATTTTCCGAATAGATGCTGCAAATTCCGTGATTTTTTCGTTTGAAAACGATCTTGAATAACGCTCGGGTAGAAAAACACTGTTATCTTCTGTTTCAACTACAATTTTTCTACCAAATTTAGTAGTTTGGACTGCTTTAATACTATATAGCTTGTATTTTTTACCAATTATCATATTCTTAATTTTTAAAATTGGTTTAAATTCACATTTTCCCAATGAAGTTAATTCCTTTAAGAGCTGATCCATGTCATTTGATTTTATTATAAAGTATTTCTTTTGTCTATTAATATTTCACAAATTAATTTAGTAATGTTACTTATATAAGAATTACTTACCAATTTGTTGTCTAGTTATTAACTACCTCTAAAGATGAAGATTCCTTGTTATTTATGCTAGAATTTTCTCCTGAAAAATAACTTTTATCAGCATCGTCTGTGGTAATTGGTTAATGTATTTCCTGATATTCATGAATTGATAATATTGGCTTACCTGTTTTTCTATATTTTACCATTTTCGGAAGTGGCGATGGTGCTAATTCTTCATAACATAACAAATCATCACTATTGTTTCTTATAGGATGCATTTCAATAGATTTTTTACAAAAACAAAAATGCTTTTGGCACTCGTAACAGCGTTTTGTACCCGACATTTTTCATCACGTTACAAAAAGTATGTAATTTTTTATCATGTGTTTTTTTTATTTGCGGATGTTCCATACCGCATTGAGAATTTTTATCATTTAATGCTACAAAATAGTGATAATCTGAAACCGCAATACCATCCTGATGTTTCTATCATTTTAGCAGTTGTACTTAGAAATTATGAGTGGTAAGTACCGTATTTCGCATATAATGGCCTAAAGTTTATTGCTTTTGTAGATATAGAATCAAGTTTAGTTTTTGCAAGAGATCAAACCCCTAAAGGTAATCAACATATTCCTATCAATTATATTCCATTATACTTTAAGTTGCAGAACAAGAACTCGTAAAATGTATCGAGGAGCGCTATCCGAATGTAAGTTATACACACACGCATTTTTCAATATTCATATTCGGATATTTCTAGGCGTACGTGGTCATCATAAGAGGGTTTTTACCCCCTCAAATTCAAAATATATCGGGGGAGGAATGTATAAGGACATGCATTATAATTTGCATAAGGACGAAGACCTACCGAACATGATTTGGATTGTTTATAGCCCAGGCACTTTAGGTTAAAAAATAGACAAAATTAGTAACAACATATTCCAGCAGCTGTGGGATACTACTTCAAGTGCTCATACGATGAATCTCTTTCGTTCTACAACAGCTACCGCGGTGGAGACTGTATGCGATGGTTTGCTGACGAGATGAATAAGCTTGCGGAAGATGTCTCTACGGTGTTTCTTTGCCCCTACAAGATGCATATGACACCACAGCAGGAACTTGAATTTCAAGCAGCAACGCACTGCCATATTTGTGAACAGTCATTTAAATCTGGTCAAAAGAAAGTTCGAGATCACAATCACCTTATCCCGGAGAACAACTTCCGCGGAGCGGCATGTGAGGGATGCAACGTCAACTACCAGGACACTCATACAATTCCGGTGGTGTTCCACAACTTGAGTGGATATGATGCTCACTTTGTTGTAACAGATATTGCCACTAGAATGGACGGCAAGATCGACTTGCTCCCTATAACCAAGGAGAAATATATTTCTTTTACCAAACACATCAACGAGTCACGCATATGCTTTAGATTTATAGACAGCTTCCGGTTTATGGCATCATCGTTAGATAAATTATCATCAGCTCTAACGAACTTTCCTAATCTAAAGTCACAATTCTCTACACTACCTGAAGATCAATTTAATATTTTAACTAAAAAGGGTATTATGCCGTATGATTACTTCGACTCGTTCGACCGTTTCGATGAGCTGTGTCTGCCTCCTCAAGATGCGTTTTACAATAAATTGGAAGATAAGCCCTGTCCCAGAAGAATGTATCGTAGAGCTCAGGAGGTGTGGAGCAGATTTAACTGCAGCAACTTGGGTCAATATGTTGACTTGTACATGAAGACTGATATTCTACTCCTTGCAGATGTCTTTGAACAGTTTAGATCAAGCTGTATTAGCACTTATGATTTAGATCCGGCCCACTATTTTACACTACCAGGCTTTACTTGGGATGCCATGTTGAAATACACGCAACAAGAGCTGGAACTCCTTACCGATCAGGATATGTTTCTCTTTGTCGAACGGGGTATTCGTGGAGGGCTAAGTCAAGTCTGCTGTAAAAGAAGAGCTCATGCAAACAACAAATATATGCTCAAATATGATTCAACGAAACCGGATGTCTATCTAATGTACAACGACATCAATAACCAGTATGGATGGAGTATGAGTCAATATCTTCCATATGGAGGCTTTGAATGGGTAGACTCCAACATCGATATCGCTACGATTCCGGATGATGCAGACGAAGGTTATATTTTAGAAGTTGATTTAACATACCCAAAGGATTTACATCAAGGACACGCTGCTTTACCGTACTGTCCTATACATATTAACCCGAAAACTTTAAAGCCACCTATTACTACTAAAGATCCTCCTTCAAAACTCATGGCGACTTTGGACAATAAAGAAAAATTAATACGTCATCCACTATCGCGCCTTAAAACAAGCATTAGAGCATGGGTTAGTTCTCACAAAAGTACATAGGGTACTCAAATTTAAACAGTCCCCTTGGCTAAAGTCCTACATTGACCTTAATACAGAACTAAGAAAAAAAGCCAAGAATGAATTTGAGAAGAACTTGTTTAAGTTGATGAATAACGCGGTCTTTGGGAAGACTATGGAAAATGTCAGAAAACGGGTTAATATCAAATTACTATCCCAATGGAAAGGACGTTACGGCGCAGAATCATACATTGCGAAACCGGAATTTAAATCTTGCGCCATTTTTAACGAAAACTTGGTAGCTGTAGAATTGAATAAGCTTGAAGTCTATTTAAATAAGCCTATATACGTAGGTCAAGCCATTCTTGATCTAGCCAAGACGACCATCTACAGCTTCCATTATGACTACATGATGGATAGATTTGGAGATAACTGCACTGTTCTTTACACAGATACGGACAGCTTAATTTATGAAATTCGTGAACAAAACCCTTATATGGCTATAAAAAGCGACTGTTTTAAATATTACGATACTAGCGATTGTGACCCCAATAATCCATATGGCATATCCCTTGTAAATAAGAAAGTGTTGGGCATGATGAAAGATGAAAATAATGGACAGATAATGACTGATTATGTAGGATTGCGATCGAAACTGTACACCGCCAAAGTTTTAACCTCCAAGGATGATTTGATAAAATTACGACAGAAATTGCAAGCGGAAGAGTATGAAGAAGATGAGATCGATACGATTATTAAAAATTTCGGTTTGATGAAGAAGGCAAAGGGGATAAAGAAAAGTGTAGTGGAGACTAAAATTACTTTTGACGATTATGTGGAGTGTCTGGAGACCTATAAGCGCAAAACTACATCTCAAAATTTGATTCGTACGGATAAACATCATGTATATTCGATAACGCAGTCGAAAATTGCTCTAAGCCCCGAAGACGATAAGAGATACTTGGTTCCTGACTCATTTGATACTCTTCCGTGGGGCCATTATGCTATCAATAAGCCTCAAGATGTTGTTGATGAGCCGATGGAAGTTGATTAAGGTTGTGATTTTTGATGAATTAGTTACAAATTGTCTAAATCCAAGGAAATTTGTATACAAATAATTAGGATATTATTTTAGGGATATTCTTAGACTAAAGGTTATTAGCAAACTACCTCTGTATAAAGCTAAAAATAGTAAATTCTTGTATAAATTTAAGATTTCATTAATAAAGTGTTAAGGTTCAACTCTGTTATACACCTTGTCCTTTGCTAACGGGTTACTACTTATGCGCAAGCAGTACTATTAAAAAGGTAGGCCTATTAGTTATTTTTTTATACACCCTGTGTAGAGAAATATCTAATGGGGAATCCTATAACGAGGCCGTAAACATCTCCAATAAATTGCATTATTTCTAGTGTGAATTTATTGCCTCCTGGGTGGTCATGGAAAGAGGTCTAACCAATAATAATTTAACCAAAGCTATACAAGGTAGATCGATAATTCGGTAACTATTGTTCCTCTTCTAGAATATACGCAGCTAAATGTCCATTTTACTATTTAACTATTACGTAATATTATGATTTTGTTTATAATTGCACTTGTTTCAAGACATGGAAGATGTCGAAGCTTTTGTCGACATTGTGTTAGAAAGTGTGCCTGTAATTGATGGACATCGGCAGAGAGTCGCCATTGTGCAAGAAGAAGTAATTCAGTTGCCGCCTACCGTGGTGGAATTTAACTTTGTACCTGCCGGTGAAGGAAGCTCCAAATTAATATATCGCTATCAGCCTCGAGCTCGCAAACATTAAGTGGAGCTGCGGTATTGAATAAGTTTAAATATCGTTCGTTTGTACAGGAAAATATATACGGTTACATCTACATGCCCAAGAGAATCCAGTATTTCTTAAAGCAATTATGGCGAGCAAGACAGCTGAAAATTATATGGAGAACAGAAATACATGAAGCACTAACCAACAGTGAAATATGTAACATAACCTCAATTCGAACGTTAAAAAGCCGCTATCCTACTACGTTAATTGCAGGCATTAATAATACTAGCATCGTCCGTCGCGCTTATACGCGCCAATATTACGAGGGTTCTGCTGCTCCTGATGAGTCTACTGAAATGTCACAGCCTTGGATAACACCTTATGTACCGGCATCATCATACTCGTCCCTCAATGGTGACGAAGAAGAAGAACAAGAAGTAGAATTTCGATCCATCGAAATGGATAAACGTGAAAATGAACAGGATTATAAAATTAGGATTGATCGGTTGATTAGCAGAATTCAAATGGACCAGTGGAGTCTTCATTTTTATCCGGAATTAGAATTAGAACACTTACCATATCATAACTATTATCGCAACATAAATGTGGATCCTCGAAAAATTGATTTAACAGAATATACTACTTATCAGGTAAATTGTGATTGGAATGAGTGAAATATCTATAGCTTTATTTGTAATCTAATTTTTTCGATGTATGTGAACCTTAATAAAGAAAAAAAATACGCCGCCGACGAGGACCTTTATTATAAATATTTAAAATATATAAAATTTGGTATAAATCTAAACACACATCGATGATTTTAATTATGAGGCGCACCTTCTGCATTAGTTTTTTTGAAGGACGAGGAGGACGACTGATGTCAACGATTTTGATTGTAGCAGTTCCTTTGACGAGGTGATTGGTATCTTCTGCGAAAAAAAAATGCAAACAGGTCGTAAACTTTTTTTATACTTACGGTCCTACACGCACAAATGCTACTCCCCTTCCTGAGGGTTCTGAATTCGTAAAAACCCATATATAGTAATCCCCAAAAAAGGGGTCTATAAATAGTAGAATGTCGCGCCTCTCATCATAAACCAGATTATGTGCACACGGGCACATGATCGTGTACCCCTAAAAACTAATAATTGCAAACCATTTAAAAAATTATTAAAACACTTACGTTTGGCACATACTCTCGAATTTCGTTTAACAACCACTCGCACTTTGAAATATTGGTCCTCGTCGGCGCCGATGTCATTTTGCTGCTCGTACACGCATTGAGAACAAATGATGCGATAAAGTGGTATTTATAATGCGGAACCCTTTTTGCGTCCTTAACGATAAACAGATAATTCGCATCCTTTCGATTTATAAATACCTATTATTCAAACGGATGGAACGAGGATTTTATAAAATAATCAAGCGGATGGATAGTTCACATGTTTGCTATCTAAATGTACATTATAAACGGCCGACTTTATTCGTAAATTTCTAACGCAAGAAGTCATTGAAGAGAAACCCGCGCTACCCCCCAAATGAAGACATCGATTCACGTCCGCTTGCTCATTGTGCATTATAAATATATTACCCAATAAAACGAATATGTCTCCGTAGCTCAGAGATGTATTTATTTTAATGCCATATGCCGCCCAATTTGCAAATTACAGTTTCCTATACGTTAGATGCGTATCATTTTGCCGCCACCAAATAGCCCCTAGCCCCTATCGGGTTTTTTCCCTGCCCACTCCTGTTCTAGTTATAGGGAACCTACCTCCGAGATGGAATTATAGGTTAGAATGAGGGTCCTCGCACCTGTCTCCTGAAATTACAATTTCCTACCCTATACCTATATGTCACATCAATCTAATAGAGGGAGTCGGTTGAAAATATACCTCTATATGCATTACGACGCCAATAGATGGCACCTCCATACCATTTAATATATCTATGATTTAATAATATTTAGAGGTTCGTTATAAATACAACTATCGAAGCATTATATCATACAAGTCTAGTTAGCCTAGTGGTTATGCTATAGGACTTGTAATCCGATGGTTGGCGGTTCGAATCCGTTCCATTTAAAAAAAATTTTTCAGGGTACGAAGGGGTCGAAGTTGAGGATTCCAAGATGGCGTCCAAGAACTTGAGGATTCCAAGAACTTGAGGATTCCAAGATGGCGTCCAAATGACGCCTGCGCAAAGGGGCGGGGCGCGCATGCGCACTGACCAGAAGTGCTCAAAAAAAGCCCAAATGAACCTTAGAATTTCCCATAAGAAATAACATGGGATTTCGACCAAAAGTGGGCTAGAATCCTCCTAGCCCCTTTACTCAGATCGTTTCGGTTGTCGGCAGTTCAGGTACGGCAAAATCTACCGCTCGGCCCCGTGAGGGTGAGGTGACAATCCGGACTGGTGACTTACACACACCAGGAATGGGGAAATCTAACGAACGTTTACCCCCACACAACCGGGGTAAACATATAACCAGAAAAAATGTCCCTGGACTATGTCTTCTAGTCAGGTATCGTTAGATATGCAGCACAGGTGTTTCTCTATAAGAACGCCATTTTGTGAACAAAAGGAATGTGATAAAGATGGTAGTTACGTCGAAACAATTATAAATCCCTTAACGGTTTAGGGGTTTAAGTGGTCTCAAACCAACCCCCAATTATATATACATTACTCATGAAAATGTAACGACCGATTAGAATCACCTGCTCCTTGTTCAGATTATCGAAGAGAAGAGAAGGTATCGATCAATACCTTTGTCGAAGAATTAAGTACATGCGCAAAGCAACCTAAAATGTTCAACAGCCAAGTATTTGCGACGCTTATGGCAAATAGGCCAATAACATTTTCGTTGTCTAATTCTTGATCTGCAACTAATCCATCCATTTTATCGACGCCTCCCATTCCTCGATTGTAATCGGATGTTACTTCAGACTGATCAACTGACTTCTTCGATTTTGTCTCCCTGCACCCACGAGAGGTTTTGACATCTATCTTGGAGAAATTAGAGGCCATTGTAACTTTATTGTCTTTCCATTAAACGAGTAACAATTCTTTACTTTCAATGAACTTGTAACTTCCTCTCTTTTCTTTGTTCCATATTTTCTTGTCAGGGAAAGGACATCTTTCAGTTCGATTACCACGAATTGTTCCAGGAGCATACATTTTTAGATTTGAACGATATACAAGAAGGGTATGAAATAATTATCAAAGAATATTTTATAGCCAAAATTACCTCCAATTTCTGCCTCTCTACCCACTCCAAATTGATGTGTATTTGTCTATTTTCCCGTGTATATTTCAAAAGCAACACAGTAGCCTGTACACAATGCCCAATTTTTAAGACCAAACCTAATGGGTTTGCCTTTTATACATATATTGTTTGGCATAGCGTTTTCCATAGTACGGTATCATACTTTCGTCGATTGAAAAATTTGTTCTTCTAACCCACCATGTTTTTTAAATGTGGTGTTTAGGTGATCTACAGGGCGTTTCATAATATATTCACAGACTTCAAGATGTGATAGCTGGTCCAAAAATGCGAAGCAAAGTTTCTGTTAACCTATCCTCTAACATGCAAAATTTTCGACTAGTTCAAGTAAATCAAGTGCCCAGAATAGCCAACGAGTATGGAGATGGAAAAATTGACCCAGGAGCAGTTCCAGCTCGCAAAAACCGTAGAGAGGTGCCAATCCAAATTCAAGAAGGAGTTCGGAGGGTCCGACGAGCATCCCCGGAAACTAAGCACGAGATCATCAACAAGAAAAGGAGTGAGTTGGAATCACAATGAACTACGTTCAGGCAACGTCACTCACAGATCATGGCCCTGTCACAAGAGTCAGGACATGAATATTTCGCAAAGGAATTCGACAAACAAACCACAACCTACAACGAGTACCTTAACACCTGTCAACGGCATCTCCGGTGAGTCCAATCCCATCCGCAAGCATTCCGTCAATAACGCTGACTAAACCAGGGGGGCAAGGCTTACAAGAAATACCTTCCCTACCCAGCCCGGGTACCACAGAACCGCAAGTACGTAAATTGCAAAACAAATTAAAAAGGCTATGGCACTCATCCGGGACACGCAAAGCGAACTAGATCAGGAACCTGCCGGCAACTATTGGAAGTATGAAAGAGAGCACATCCGCAAGCTCTGGGACGCCATCCAAGAAGCCCACGAAGACATTATGGAAGTACCAGATACATTGGCAGAACACTACGAAACTGCCAAGGAAGCCGTGCGCCAAATCATGGTAGCGCTCGCCGACAAGGACTCACGAGACAAAAATAGCTACGAGAAAATTCCTCTCCCACGGATACAAATTCCGCAATTTGGGAGAGATTACGCAGCATGGACCAACGTGGAAAAAATGCAGCATTTGAAAACAAATCTAAGGGTTGAAGCTAGCAAACTGATACAACACCTGCCAATAAGTGAAGCCAACTACAACGACGTGTGGCTGCTGCTAACGAACCGTTACCAAAATAAGCGGTTGCTGCTTTCAAAGCAGCTAGACAACATCTTCAATCTGCCAAAAATTGGTCCAAACGCTCCAGACGTCCACAATCCATGACACAATTGCGGATAGTCTGCGCGCAATTAACAACATGGGTATAGAAACCGAATCATGGGGACCAATGGCTGTTTTGAGAACATCCCTACCAGCACCAAAAAAGATAGCATCACTTCAAGAAGTTTGGCGAATTGTCAACAAGGGAGCGATGGCAAATCGTCAAGGAAAACCAGTTGTGCTTCAATTGCCTAAAGCACGACAAAAGGACAAGGTGCACCAGTCCAAATTGTTGTGAAAATTGCAACCGACAACACCACAGCATGCTGCATATTGAAAACACTAAGGAAAATCGTCCAAAAATGGAGGTCTCAAGTTGCGAGAACTCTTGCCTTATTGGCCTCCTGACGCTTTTTCCACTCCACGAACTTAGCCATGGCGGTTTCTTGTCGTTTTTTGGCTGATTCTTTCCTTTTATTCCAACGCTCTCGCCTTTCATCTTCCTTTTTGATTATAGCTACATCGCGTAATAGGAGTGCGGACCGTCTCTTCAAAAAGACAACTTCCCTCTTAGCCCGATATATGACGGCTTTGTTTTGGAACTCAATTTTCCTCGCTTCTTTCCGCTCTTGTCGTGCAGCAATTACTCTAGCTCGCTGGGCAATCCGAGCCTTCTCCCTCTTGTCCATCTTTGCTGCCGCGCCAGTGTGACCCATTTTCTTAGCCCATTCTTCTACAAGCATGCAACGCTTTTGTTCAGAGACAAGACGGTGATGGGTAGCACTATTGTACCACTTTTTGTTTTCTTCCTTCCTGGCCTTTATTTCCGCTGTTCGGTTGTCACCAGTGGCCCAAACCTTCCCGTTTTTAATGACTCCAGACAGCGTGGTTCGAGGTGCAGTGAAGATTACACGCGGTTCGGTTAATATAGTCAACCTTATCGGAGCCTTCTTGGAAGTAGGTTCGCGCTGTTTTACCGGTGGTTTATCCTTCTTCATCTGGAGCTTCTTGTTTAATGGTTTCCAGTCATCATACACAGTAGCAATTTTTTCCGTGATGGTCGCCTTGGTCGTTATTGGGTAGTCCATGTCGGTTTCGTACCATTTCCTTGGCATTTCCTTACGGCGCCTAAGTTGGTACTTCGGGGTCCATATGCCTCTCATAGCAGCTGTGCAAAAGGCATTTTTCTTGAGAGCCCTACGCTCTCGTCTGGTAGAACTACACTTAATACTACGGGTGACAATAGATAGTGTCACTAAAAATAAACGTAAAGATACAAAACTTATATCTAATAACCTATCACTATTGGGCTTCACTGTAGCCTCTGGGGGGGTAACAGGGTTGAACCTTGGCTTCGCTATAGCCTGGGAGGGAACAGGGGATTCGAAAGACTGGGGACGGTCTTACCCCTAAGTACTGGAAATTGGAAAAAATATATAGTAGCCGCCCCTGACGTCACGTGGGACGCAAATTTATTACCTGCACAAGTAACTGCGGAATAACAAGCGCTGTTCCTGATGATAAGATTTTAATTCTATGGTGATAAGCCGCCATCCCACCGTCCACCTGTATGTACGAGCTTTGATACCTTCACACAATGCTCTGAGGTTTGAGATAACAAATTTGAAAGGAGATGTCAAGTTTATTTGTTTAAATTAAGCATATTTGTCTATTATTAATTGTCCATCCTAGAATTAATTGATAATGTTGTGCTGTCCTTAAATTGTCAATTGTATTTAGAGTTATCAGTCCAATATTGAAGTCCGTTGAATGATCATTCATCTGAAACACAAAAATTACGTTATCGATATCATCGTCAAGTTATACTTACCTACCGAGTCAATTACCTGTTTAAATAAATTAATAATAGGATCGATTTTTGCATTACGTTATGAGCTTGTCCGATTACCTGTCATTGGGCAAGTTGGTTTAAGACAGGTTGGCGCCCCCTTCAAACAACACTCAGTACAAGATCCACGACTCAGCTCCCGAATCTTTGAGCACTGTTAACCCTCATTATAGCCAACCAACAAAGGGATTGTCATACAATGGCAGAGACTGGGCAACCCAAATATTGAAAGAAAGTACCCGACGACGCTACGCTTTGGAATAGGGAAACCGTAACCCATCCAGAAATATCCGCCATGCGGTTCATCCTCGAAAGAGGCTCTTAGCGGCACAGCATCGAACATAGACATGCGGAATCGTCCTCCTATACTATTATCGATGCTCTTTGATAACTTAATTGTCCTAAGAATCATTTGCTCAACATTCCTACCGCGCTCTTCGTCACTTCGAACCACCTCAGTAATGGCTTGTTCAACTTTAGCGTGTATTTTGAACGCGTACACTGATCGAGAAGGAATTTTGATCCTGTATTCATTTAGCAAATGCTCACTAGCTCTAACGCTCTCAAATAGTTTTTTCTGATCTAAATAAGCTTGCCCAACCCTTTCCCATTGATGAACAATCGGGCTAACTTCACGCAGTCGCTCAAGCTCAACACCACGCCATAACCCACGTACTACCATTCCAGCCAATACTCCCGAATCCCTTAGCTTCTCAATATCCACATAACACCAGAACGGCAGATAGTACTGTCTTGCTAAAACTTGTGATATTTCCAAACTTTTTTTAGTCGACTCATCCAACTTGAGATTTTGAAACCTCCCGCTCTCAACCGTTTTTCCTTTTAACACATACCCATCAGGCAATTGCGTTACATAATCCTTTATAACATTTTCACGTTTTAGCCCTACCAATTCAAACGCTCGACGCCATACCATAGTAACACTGGAAGAAGGGGTGGTGAGATAACTACTTGGCGGTAAAACGTCACCATCATCTAGCAAAAATCCCGGTAGTGGAACTCCAACCTCGTCAGTACACATCCAAAATGGACCCATTCGTAATACTATGTGTTGAATGTCCCGATCCTTCCATTCAGTGTACCGAAAACCTAATTCATTTAGAGCTTGATAAAATTTAGGGAGAAGGTGACGAATAGGCTTTCCGACATACACCCTCCGTGACTGGAATCGAGTATGAACTCTGACGTGCCCGCTTTTAGCGTTGAAAGAAAACACCATTATTCCTAGAACCCAGCCAAACATATACATCCAAGGTGTCCAAAGCTCAGGTTTACGCGTTCGTGATAACTTCTCTCTAATTATTCCAAGAACCTCTTCATACCTGACATTCCCGAAGTTGTCGTACTGGTCCCCTCTCTCACTTGAAAAAACACATATCCTTCCGTCTAAACCCTCAGGAGCTCCACAAGTCCCTACCTGCTTCAAAAACTCGGCACTAAATAAACTTAATGATGGATCACAAATAAATCCCAACGCATTCATACGTTGCTCTAACATCATACAAGCGCATCTACTATATTGTAATTCCTTATCACGACTAAACGATTTAGTAAACTTCACTCCTATTACTTGATCATCACCCGCAACACCACCTAAAACGGTAACATACCTTCCATCTGCTCCGCACTGACTATTACCGGACGTTAATTCATTCTGTATATCGACCATACTTAGGCATCCTAATAGATTATGTTGCGCCGACGTAGCCCACCATCCAGATGCAAAGGTTAAAGGGGACACATCTACCTCGTCGTTAAACGTTCCATCAATTAGTCTACGTTGGTGAAACATGTACATAATAGCATAACCAATCATCATTTGAGGCAGAGTAATCGCTTTCAATTCAGGCTCTGGATCTGGGTTCTCACCCTTATAATATTTAACCATTTCGACATTCCGTATATCGCGACTAGATCCTAAGAAAAAAGCTGGACCACCTGACCTTTCTAACGAATAGGATTGATACGCCAACGATAAAGTAAAAAGCAGCTGACTCTTCTTTGTGCTCGCGTCCATCCCCTTAACGTCATTTGAACTTTTATAATACGGCGTCCCTGAAATCGTTAATACGCGGTTCATATCTCGAACGTCTCCAGTATTCTTTCCAGATGTTGAAAACGGAGTTTGACTATATATAGCCTCCAACGCCCGCATAATAAGAAAACCACTCGCCTGAGGAACCGAACGAATCATAATAATCAGTCGCAAACGCCTGTACACTTGAATTCGAGTTCCAGCTTTTCCGGGTAACCCCATTGCTTCAGCGATACCCTCCTTAGTCGATAAACCCCGCGACAGTTCGTTTAATACATCGACAATTCTTGTTTTACGAACATTTTGCACCAAACGAGCGTCAGCCTTGTTTCCCATTAGATCGCTGATATACTGCCTTTCCGCTTTTTCGATTTCAGGCGTCATCCCAGAAGAATTGGTTGTTTGTAATTCTATAAATTCGCTCTCCAAGTTGTGCGCATCTTTAACCGTGTGCGGGATTAAACTTAGCCCTAAATCGTATAAACGTCGCAAATCTTCAGTCTGATAGTCCATTAAGACAGGTACCTTTTGTCCATCCAGTTCAATATACTCAGCAACATCATTTAAAGGCTGGCTATACCCACGTTGACCTTGGGCGGAGTCTTTTAGCGCCAAAGCCGCAACACCAGTAACGAATAACATATTACCTTTAAAATAATATATTTCGTGTAATATCTTAAACAAAAAATCGTCACAAGTACTATCTTGTATTAACGTTAACTTATCAGGATCAGGAGATATGACACCACCACCCATAGACTGGTACGATATATACCCTTTAATATAATTCCAATAGCTGGGGGCCTCAGATTGTATAACTCTAACGTCGTCATACGCTAAGCTCGACGGCGATTTTATAGGTTGATATGGCTCCACGTTCACGATTATCCCGTTTTCCAATGTTCGCCTCATGAATATCCCTAACTCCTCAATCACCCCTCTAAGCCTACTATAGGAATCCTTACTCTTAAAAGTAGACGAAAATAAATGTTCTTGACATCTAAATAATAAGCATTCAACCAACCCTTGTTCACATGCCACGCCGATTTGTCCAACACTTGAAGTTAATGATAGTTCACATAACTGATACACTATAAAAGGAATCATACTACTTACTCTCCCATTCAAATCTTTATTAAAAGTAACCCCGTTAGGACCGTAAAAAAATGGAAAATTGTCGCAGCTCCGCAACAACTCAATCAGAGTGACTAGTGACGATGAATAGTTCCAGCATCGATGCTCAACATCATTACAAACACTCACCTGGCAACTACGGCATGTATAACCTAATAAGGAAACCAACACTGAGGCGGGAGGTGACGTAGCTCGTAACTTAATGCAATTGGCAATCTGTCGACTTACCCCGTGAATTATCCTTTCCTCCAACGTCCCTTTCGTTGACCCACCACTATGCTTCTCGGACTCAACCTTAAATGACTCAATGTCAAAATTCAGTAAGTACATTGAATCGCTATCTAAAACCGGGACGACTCGATCACTGTCTGAAGCCAATTTCCAATATTTGTACGAAAAAGGCCGTGGTTTCATAATCTGAAATGGGATAGTAACGCAGTAAAATTGACCTTCCTCTCGTTTTAAGCCGCAAACCCACGTATGAATCGCTTTTCCATCCAATATTCCAATTTGGCTAACTATATCGTATACTAAGTTGAATTCACTCTCTTTAACTTTACTAGTACATAAGTTAGTATCACGTGTCAAACATGACTTAATTGCGCTGTATTTTTCATTTAAACTCTTTAGTACACTAAGTGATTCCTCATATCCCAGTTTGTTGGGAGCAGTTCGATGTGGCGAACTCATTAGAGAAGCTAATTGTTACGGTATTATTTATGTGATCAATATATGATTAAATAATTATTAATTGTCACTTTTTGGAAAGGTTTTCTCTAAAGGTGGAACCGACTCATACTAAATATATAACTGTCGCGGATGGAAAAAAAAGTCCAGTTGAAGGTGTAGTCGATGCGCCCGTTGTTGTAGATGGTGCAGTTAATATGATTTCTTTTTTGATAGTGCCGTCTGTTAAACAAACCATAATTTTGGGGACCGATTTTTGCACAAAATTTTGTATTTCCATTAATTTTAAAGACCAAACGTGTCGGGTTCGCAACAGCCACGGTAATGACGTAGAACTACAAGTAAATGAAATTGGTCAAGATTGCAATTTCGACAATAGGTGGTCCCTCGAACAATTATCCATTATCGAGGAGATACAGGCACTTTTCCGTGACATTAGTAGCGAAGATCGGTTAGGGCGTACAAATAAAATCACTCATGTTATAGATGTAGGTGACGCTAAACCTTTTCGCCAAAGGCAGTATTTATTATCGCCTTACCTAATGAAACATTTATACGGGGAGTTGGATAAAATGTTGGAGTTAGGGGTAGTTGAACCTTCCATCGGTTCGTATAATTCTCCCGTACTATTAGTTAAGAAACGCTCAGGCGAGTACCGCTTTTGCTTCGACGGGCGTACGTTAAATTCCATTACTAAACCAGACCGTTATCCTCTACCCAGAGTAGACCGGATTTTAAACATGCTGAAAGGAGCTAAATACATCTCCTCCATTGATCTAAGGAGCAGTTTTTGGCAAATTCCCTTAGACCCATCTTCTAAAGAAAAAACAAGTTTCTCTGTGCCCGGTAGGGGACTCTTTCAATTTTGTGTGTTACCCTTCGGCTTATGTAACGCGCCCCAAACGCAACAGCGCCTCATGGATGCGATTTTCGGTCCAAGGTTTGAGCCCAACATTTTTGTTTATCTTGATGATATTATTGTGATTTCATCTACCTTCGAACATCACGTTAAAATGTTAAGGGAAGTTCATGAGCGGTTGAAGGAAGCCAATTTAACCGTAAACCTAGCCAAGTGCGATTTTTTTAAAACTACCTTAAAATATTTAGGATTCATAATTGATGGTAATGATGGTGGCCTAAAAACAGATCCTGAAAAGGTCTCCACGATGGTTAATTATAGCAGACCTACTAACTTCACGGAAGTTAAGCGATTTATCGGTCTTTGTTCTTGGTATAGGCGATTCATCAAGGATTTCTCCACATTAGTGTCCCCTATTAATGATCTTCTCAAAGGGAAACGCAAGCGCCAAGGTATAATTTGGTCAAAAGAAGCAGAAGAGGCATTCCTAAAAATTAAAGAAGCCTTAGTTTCGGCACCGGTTTTAAGAAGCCCTGATTTTTCCGTACCGTTTACCATTCAGTGCGATGCATCTGATACTGGAGTTGGTGGAGTCCTCACTCAAGTGGTAAATCATAATGAAATAGTTATTGCGTATTGTTCGCGCACACTATCGAAAACCGAACGTAATTACACGGTTACGGAAAGAGAACTATTAGCGTTACTTTATAGTATAGAAAAATTTCGGCCGTACATTGAAGGAGTTAAATTCACTGTCATTACTGATCACCACTCACTGGTGTGGTTGAATCGTCTCAAAGACCCATCAGGTCGTCTTGCTCGATGGAGCGTTAAATTGGCGCAGTATTCGTTTGATATTGTCCACCGAAAAGGGAAATTTAACGTAGTCGCAGACGCCCTATCTAGAAACCCCCTGCCAAGTATCGAAATCATAAATATAAATGATGACTGCCCCGTTTATGCCCAACTACGGGAAAAGATTTTTAATAATCCCGATCGATTTCCACATTGGCATATTAATGATGGCCTAATCTATAAACACTTACCTTCAGGGCTACCCCTTAAGTCTAATGTAAAAGAGTGGAAGTTGCTAGTTCCTTCTGGACAACGACGAGATGTCATTCATGAGTTCCATTGCCCACCTACCGCTGCACACTTAGGGTTCTATAAAACTTTGAAAAGGGTGCAACAGTTGTATTATTGGCCTAAGATGAAACGCGACGTTTCCAAATTTGTAAACGATTGTCGTACCTGTGGTGCGCAGAAGGCGTCCAATACCGCTCAAATGGGGTTAATGGGGAAAGAAAAGCATGTTCAATTTCCATGGCAAGTTATCGCTGTTGATATCATGGGACCCTTACCGCGATCATCTAAGGGAAATGCGTACTTATTGGTTGTTAGCGACTGGTTTAGCAAGTATACCCTTTTGTGTCCGATGCGTGAAGCTACTGCAGAACGCATTATCAAGTTCATAGAAGATGATGTTTTTCTTGTATATGGAGTGCCGCAGTTTATTATCTGCGACAACGGTACTCAGTTCGCGGGAAGAAAATTTAAAGCGTTGGTGGATAGTTATAAAATTAAAAAAATATGGTTCAATGCGAGGTATCATCCTCAAGTAAATTTTGTGGAAAGGTCTAACCGTACCATTGCAACTGCCATACGCAGTTACATTGAAGATAATCATACAGTCTGGGACAAAAACGTTCCCAAAATTCAGTTCGCCTTAAATTCAGCAACTCATGAGGTTACCGGTTTTACTCCCTATTTTTTAAATTTTGGTAGAATTAGTTGTATTAGTGGTGATTATTATGGGAAGATACCTAGCACGGAAGGTATTGAGCTGGCTCCAGCAAACCGTGACGAATATATTGAAAATATTGAAGGATTAAAGGAGATTTATAAAATAGTAGAAAATAAATTGAGTTTGGCTTATACGAGGAATTCCAAGTATTATTACAACCTGAGAAAAAGGGATGTTTCGTTCACGTTAGGCGATAAGGTGTGGAGAAGGAATAAAGTTTTGTCGGATGCCGCTAAAAATTTCTCCAGTAAATTAGCGCCTAAGTATATACTAAACATTATTAGAAATAAAATTTTAAATTTAGTATATGAGTTAAGCCGTATCTGACACTATGCTAAATTTTGTAGAAAATTTTGCAGATAAATTTTCATACAAAATATTGCATAGTGTCATACGTATTTTGTACAAAAATTTGTTACATAATTTGTTTGTATAAAATTTTTTAGAACGCGTTCTAAAAACTACCTAAAATTTGTACAAAAAGTGCGCATAGTTTTACGGCGCATCCTATGCACGTGTGTGGTACATAACCTGAACCATAAACATAAACATTATTACCTTTAAACGTGTAGTGGTGTAAACACTCGTTTGCTGTTGAACTTTGTAAATTTATTAATAAAATGTCCTGGTCGCGGGAACAATGTGAAATTTTGATACAGGAGAATCAAAAACATCCCTGTCTCTATGCTACAAAATCAGTGTTGTACAAAAACAGGCATGCACGACAGCATGCTTTAGAAAAAATAGAGGCTGTGCTGAAGGAAGTAAGGCCGTCCGTAACGATTAACGAAATAAAAACCAAATTTGGTGGTTTGAAAACGAACTTCCTAAACGAATACAAGAAATGGAATGTATCCAGGCGCAGCGGAGCTGGTGACAACGATGATGACGATTCTGTAAGCTGATACCATCAAACTTCTGTACAGTAGTAATAACTAAAACTTTTATTTACAGTTATATAAACCAACAATATGGTATTTTAAAGTCATGTTTTTCCTTCTTGAGCACTGCAAAGTGCGATTGGCAGTCGATTCCCTAACGGAGGACGTAGAGACAGAGCAGGAAGACACAGAGCGTGATTCGCAATCATCAGAAGTGCAGGAATATGTCGTAGGAGAAGACGGCGTGCTCCACGATGCAGGTGATGAAAATGTACAGTCACCAGACATGTCATTTCAAGTTGCTTCGCCTTCCTCTTCCAATGGATTTTACCAGCCAAAACCAAAGAAGAGGAAACTGCGGCAAGAGCCAGTGGAAGAAAATCTCATACGGGAAGCGTCAAATACACTTGCATCTATTAATCAGGCAATGAAGACGAATCAAGGCAAAAATGAAGAAGACGAAGCGTTAGCAAAATTTATTGTTTGCAAATTAAATCAAATTACGAACGAAGACATACGTCTCGAAGTGGAACAGGAAATTGTTGAATGCCTGTATCGCAGTATAAAAAAAAGTAGAATGTAAATAATAGGCCAGGGTAAGAATATAAAATACATTGTATACATATTAAAATTATTTATTGCCTCTTCCTGCCAATCTACAGACCCTTCTAAAGAATTGAAAAAAGTTTTAAATCGATCACGAATTTCTCTCGCATTATTCGACGTTCGATTACCACACTGTCGTGTTACTTTTTGCAGGTCTTTGATGTCCTCGTCAATCTCTATATAGGATTGTGAGTTTTCAGTGGCAAGAAAATTATGTAATAAGACACAAGTCAATGTAATTAATTCTACTTTTTCTGGAATTAAATTAATTGGATTTAAAAGTACCCTAAATCTATTCACTAAAATGCCAAATGCATTTTCAATTATGCGTCTTGCACGTGATAGACGATAATTAAATATCCTGCATTCTTTGGTAAGTCCTCGTTCAGGATAGGGCTTCATTAGGTTTGTTGCTAATGGAAATGCATCATCGGCGACAATGACATAGGGCATTGGATGTTCCATTCCTGGCAGCAGTTTGGGCTGTGGCAAATTAAGTGTGTTGTCTTGCAGTGCCTTTGACAACTTACTGTTGTTAAACACCCCGCCATCGCTAATGCGTCCGTTAACACCAATATTTATGTAAATAAATTTATAATTTGCATCTGCCAAACCCAGCAGCACAATACTATTAGAACCTTTATAGTTGTAATAGTACGATCCTGCCGAGATTGGGGCTCTGAATGTTATATGGCGTCCATCGAGTGCTCCAATGCAGTGTGGAAACTGCCATAAATTATTAAAATCATCCGCAATTTTATTCCACTCTTCTGGCGTGTTTGGTGTCTGTAAGAGTTTAAATTGTTTCAATAAATTTTATAAACATACTGACAAAACGACAACTTACCTTCAAATAATTTGGTTTCAATTTTAACACGATT